CATGTGACTATTAACCTAAGAAATCACAAGCCAGAGAGAGAAATCCTTGAAGGCACTGACTGTCTCATTATTCCCATAGTACTTGGCATATAGCAGGCGCCCAACAAAAGTGTGTAGGTACACCTGGGAGCTGGTGGCTTATGCTTATAATAATTACTCAGGAGACTCAGAACAGGAGGCTGAGGATGGCAGTTAGAAGTCATCCCTCTCGGGAAAATCCATGAGACTCGTCTCCAATTGAGCACCAAGAAAGCTGTAGTGAAGCAGTGGTTCAAGTGGAGGAATGCCAACCTTGAGCAGAAAAGCTCAAGGACAGTGCCCATGCCCTGAGTTCAAGCCTCAGGTCTGGAAGGAAAAAAAAGTGTATGGGGTGAAATAATATAATTTCACTTCAAACTTAGGCTTTGTGAAGAGTGTGCCCTAACGGGAGTCATTACAAAGCAGTAAGAATTTCACTTTCAGTGGGCACAACAGCGCACATTTTGTAATAACAGCTATCTAGAAGAAAGGTAGGAGGACCCCAAGTTGAGGCCAGCCTAGGAAAAGTTAACATGAGACTCGATCTGCAAAATAAAAGCAAGAACGCTGGATGTGTGGTTTAACTTGTAGAATGTTTGCCTGGCAACTGCAAGGCCTTAAGTTTAATCCCCAGTACTCCCTGCTCTCTCCTTCACCCAAAGGAAATTAGGAACTCTATGTTCACCCAAAGACATTCTCAACTTTCATGCCTGGGATTCATGATTTCCACAGCAGGAACTGTAGGGGAAGAGGCTGCCCTGGACTGCATGGAATAACATAAACCACAGCATAAGCACGTATGATAAGAGAGTAAGGAAGAAAAGGCCTGAGTTTCCAGGGCATGGGCCTCTTAGGAATACTTCTTAGGTGTGTGGAGGGGGTGATGGTATTGGGGCTTGAATTCAGAGCTTAGAGCTCTCACTTGGTTTCCTCTACTCACTTGGCACTCTATCATTTAAGTTATGCCTGAACTTCCCAGGTTTGGCTAGTTAATTTGGAGATAAGATTCTCTCCAATGTGTCCGTTCTGGTTGGCTTCAAACCATGATCCTCAGATCTCAGCCTCCCGAGTAGCTAGGATTACAGACATGAGCCACCCAGTGCCCAACTCTTCCTAAGGTTTCTATATTAATTTTCTCTAGTATGTTAGTGTCACTTAAGACCCATGTTTCTCAAGCTCCACACTATCAAAATTTTACAGATAATTCCGTGTTGCTGTGAGAATGTCTTTCATATTACGACGTGTCTCACATGATGATGTATGTAGCTAGGGGTTTGCTCACACTAGACCAGTAACACTCCAAACACAACTCACCAGAGTTGTGACGACCAATGGTGTCCCCTGATATTGCCAAACACCTGTAATAGTCACTGAGGTTTGAGAACTGTTCCTCTAGACTGACGTGTTGTCATGGCAGCTGTCCACATCAGGGATTCCTGGGAGGGTCACATCCCTCACTCTGTCTGCACTGTCTTTTGACCATACACTCAGGCATTACCAGCTGGTCAAGTGACAGTCTTAGTCCTTGGGCATGACACATAGCTGAGCCAAACATAAAAGTACAGACTCCTTCCTTTCCATTTCTTCCTTTCTTTCTTTTCTCTTCCTTCCTTCCTTCCTTCCTTCCTTCCTTCCTTCCTTCCTTCCTTCCTTCTTCCTTTCTTTCACTTTTCTTTCTTTTCTTTTTTTGAGAGAACATTTTGCTCTATGTCCTAGGTTGACCTTGAATTCACAATCCTCCTTGCCTCTGCCAACCAAGTGCTATGATTACAAGTGTGTACCACCACACCTAGCATGACAGTTTTTTTTCTTGGTAATGTGTTATTTTGGCCAACAAGGATTTAGAATCTAAATGAAGACTACTTGTGGCAGAGACCTCCATGTAACTGGAAGAAAACCAGGGACAATTGCATTGATGGTGCTGTTCTCCTTCATCTAAACAAGTCTAAGGATAATGTTACAGCTACTCAGCTTCAATTAATTAGCTTAATCCATTTATCCTCTAGCTTAAGATCTGATGACTGACTGATTCTAGCCTGGATCACCCGGTACTGGTAGCAGGTAGGTCCATATGCATGAGTCTACAAGTTCTCCATGTCCCAGCAAGCCCTTAAGTAAATGAGAAAGCTGCTCACCAGGGATGAGTTGGGCTACTAGGCATGAGGTGAGATGTGAGTTACTGCCACAACTCCTCACCCACACATGGAGTGACATTAGACAACTCCATTCAAGTGAGGACATTAAGAATTACTGCTACCATATCTCCCTAGGCTGGCTGAGATCAGAATGACCTAACAGTGTTAGCCATTTCTTTGAATGTTAGAATAGTCTGTAAGTTCTTGTTAATCTGGTGTGGGAAGGTTTTGACAGAATTGTTATCCTATCCATCTCCAGTGACTTTGTGACCTGGTGATAAGCAACCAGGTTCACCAGAGCATACGGCCATGAGGACGAGGAAGATGGAAAGGGACAGGCCCCATGGCTGGAGAGTAGGGGTTCCCTCACAGGACTCCCCACTGGTCTTCTTCATTTATCTAGTGTTTTCAGAGGGGTAGAGTATAATATCTAGTGATTCCAATTAGAGATTCAAGAGTTAGACTACTTGGATT